CAAGCAGAAGAATGAAGTAAGGAAAACAATTCAGAACCTAGATAAAAAAAAGTTAGCAAAGTGGGTAAGAAGGTCAGAATTGTGGATGAGAAATTCAAAAACAAGGGAAAAATTAAGTAATGAAACTGAGATTCTGAAACGGAAACATAGAAATGCTAAAAATGGGTCACTCGGTCAAATAAAAAATACTGTAGAAAGCATCATCAACAGATAAGACCAAGCAGGAAAAAAATATATGTATCAAGGAAGGAAAACAAACTGGAGATAATATTACATTCACACATCAGTAAGAAAAAATATGAGAGTATAACCAGAGAACTCTGCAATATGATCAAGAAACAAACCTAAGAATATCCATGAGATAAAGGAAGATGAGGGGAAAAAAATGAAGGCATAAAAAAATATATTCAGGGGCTGGAGAAATAGTTCAGCGGTTAAGAACACTGGTTGTTCTTGCTGAAGACCCAGGTTCGAATCCCAGCACCCACACGGCAGCTAATAACTGTCTGTAATTCCAGTTCCAGGGGATCCAATGGCCTCTTCTATCCTCTGCGAGCATTGCACAACACACGTGCACTTACCTACATGCAGGCAATAGACTCATACATGTAAAACAAAAATAATAATAAAATATTTTTTAATCTAGTCAATGAAATTATAGCAGAAAATTTCCCAAATCTAGAGAAAGAAATGGATATCCACACACAAGGAACAGTTAGAGCTGGAAATAGACATGACCAGAGAACTTCTGAGATACATTATAGTTAAGATGTCAAAAGGACACAAAGAAACTATTAAAAGCTCTAGGAAAAGCACCAACTCACCTACAAAGGCAAACACATTACAACATGGGATTCCTCATCAGCATCTCTAAAAGTCAGGCATGTATGGAATGATATTTATCAAACCCAGAGGGCAAAACAACGGCCAACCAAGAGTGTTATATCCAAAAACGTTACCTTTTAAAATGAATAGTCATAAGGACATTTCAAGACAAGCACTAACTGAAGCAATTCATAACCAAGTCAGTTCTTCAGAGGAGGAAGACAGTTTCAATCATCAGGACACAAGAAAGAAAAAAAAATCCAGGAGAAGAGTGGAATGAGCAAGGAAGAACCAGGAAATAATGGATTGTGTCCAACACAGTAAATCAACAAACATCTAATACTGATAGGCAAGAAAGAAAAGAATAAACAATAATCCAACCAACCACATTTCCTAGTGTAGCTACCCATCAGTCATCCAGGCTGCTCCAAGTCCAGATTCCTCAATACAGTACAGTTTCTTTCTGTTTTGGTCTAAATTCCAAAGCAAGACACAGTTGCTGCAGCTAAATCAAAGATAACAAACTTAATCTATCTAAAGTATACTTTGAACTTCTGTCTGTATCCTTTAAAGGTTTGGCATCATATTAGGAAAAATAAATCAGTAACGGCATATAAGATACATGAAAGGATATCTGACTATGACTCAGAAGTGCTATGCAGTAAGGTCTAGCATCAGTGTATTTCCTGACATAGCTCGAAGGACATATACAGAGATCACCAAGGGCATAGCAAGAATGATATCACAGCTTGCAGAAAAATAAAATCCTCCTTTAAGGACAAGAATTAGCTCTGCTTCAAGATTTTTTAGCAAGATGACTACATATTGTACAATGTTCCTAAGGGATCA